AGAGCTTGAAAAGCGCAACGGTAACAACGGGCCTGGAGCTAGTGCCGGCACAGGCGGGCAACGCAGTGCGCAGCAGCGCAATCAGCGCCAGCAGAGTGACACGAACAGAGACGCAACTGGTGGCACCAGCGGAAAGGGAGGCCGCTTTGCAATGGCCAGCGGCGATGACAACAGCGGCGGCGCCGCGCATAATCCGGATGATGGAGCGCCGTGCGACGGTGGGACACCGGCTCCGAGTGATGGGGAGTGCCCTGACGGAACCAATCACGCAATTGGCTCGCGGAGACCTCTCTATCTTGGCGAAAACAAGAGCGACGTCACGTCTGGCAACCCGTTTCAGAAGGCGTCAGCAGATAAGGCAGGGCGTTATCGCATCTCTACACGAGCGGACCGAGACGGCATGCGATATCGTTTCGTTTTCCAAAAGGGGAGCAGCGGCCGTTACGACGAGGTTTGCGGGCCCGCTTTTGACGCAGAGTACCCGTGTCTATTCCAGTTGTATGACATTTGTTGCTGTGATGGCGATTCGTGCAAGGCCCCTCATCCTGAGTATGTGCCGAGGCAGAAGGAGGCGCTGAAAGCTGGGCTGAAAGCAAGCCTCGGCATGGACGGACCAGCTTTGAAGGGAGCAGCAGAGCGTTACGCGGCCGAGATCAGTGCTTCGAAGGCGGAACGCTTCAAGAAGTATCAGGGCATGACGCTGCAGCAGATGTACGACTTGAATCGAGGCGAGCCACGACCGATTGCGAAAGTTGATCTTCTCGACACGCATAAGGGGTACAAACGGCACGAGAAGCTCAGGCTTCGAATTCCCTTGGCACGTGGCACAGATCCGGAAACAGAGAAGGTGCGCGAGTCTTGCAAGACCGCGCCGCCGATGATCGAATATCTGTCATCGGGTCGAGTTGGAATGTTGCGGTCCGTCGATTTGGGTCCTGTATCGCCGAAAAGCATCGGGCGCGATCAATACGAGGACCAGAGTTTAGCGGATTCGACGCGACAGGACGACGATGTCGATACTGACATCCTCGACCGCGTTCCACTCGCGCTCCGAGGTCGTTACTCCTCCTTGGCTGATGGCGGCGTCTTCATAGACCATGAGCCAGAGCCTTCCTCGATTTCCCGAGCGGACAGCTTTATGCAGGATAGCGAAAACCGCAGAAGCATCCAGGCGCGGTACTGCGTTGCTTCGGCGCCGCAATACGGATCACCAGTAAGCATCTTCTCGGAAGGATCTCCTGCGCCTATTACAGAAGAACACGACGCGACACCATTGCACGATGGTGGTCACAGATACTTCGAAGGGGGCACGCCGGAGAGTATCATGGACACGCCCTCGCGCGGAGATGAGCGCAGCTATTTCGAGGGCGGGACGCCCGAGAGTACAAGCAACGAGCAGCAGCATGCTAGAAGCGCAAACTTTTCAGGATCTCCGCAGAGCATCCTCTCAGATGGGACTGCGATGCCCAAGTCGCCGAGCAGCGTACACTCGGAGGGGTCGGAACGGCCAGCACTGCCGTGCCGATCGTGGGCTGACGTCAAAGACGACCCGGATGAAACGCCGGAGGCAGTACAGAAGTTCATCGATGACTGTCAGCGCGCATTCGGGTCACCGAATAGTATCGCGTCGAGCGTTCGCAGCCAGTCTTCGGACGCAGAGCTGGACAACGTCGCAGACGGAGCCAGTGACGCACCCGCGTCGGTATCCAACCTTGGCACAGAGGCGACCAGGGCCGGAACCTGTGACGCAGCCGGTGAAGCGGTGAGCGACGACGAGGAGGACAGCTTTGGAGAGAGTGAACAGTGCTACCACGAAGCGGCCCGGCGCTGGGTTCAACGGGAGCGAGAGCGCGAGTTCGCAGATACCAAGGTCCCGAAGGGCGAAGAGTACATCGACTTCTTATATGACACGCGCGACAAGTACATAGCAGCGATTCAAGCGCGGCACCCCGTGTACACATTTCAGGACGGTGTCGCTGTAGGCTTCAAGTTCAGCAAGCAGGCCCAGGGCTGGACTCGGTACCGTGTCGCAATTCCACCGTATTCGAAGCTGGTTCTTTTATCTGGGACGGAGCGTTCGGCAGATGAAATGGTGACAGCGATCACGATGACGGTGCATGTGCCGAATATGACAGCACCGATTGAGCAGCAGGTCTGGAGACAAGGCAAGTCGTGGCTTACCGACTGGCCAGCAGCAAGCCAGAATCTTCCCTGCCTTAAAGACGTGACGATAGCAAGTATGCGCTTCGAGTTTTCGGATGTTGAGACAACACGGATTCAGCAGTGCTGCTACGAGAAGATCCCGCTAGCGCTCGACGTCGGGGACCTGAAGCAGGCAAATTTAGATCCGGCGGCGGCGTCATTCAATCCACAGATTCAATCTGTTGACCCAATTCTTGTGGATTGCGAGTTTGCGGAAGCGGCCGCGGCGGTACCAAAAGGGCTCTTCTTGTACCACGGTGCTTTCGGCGCCGGGAAGAGTCGACTGCTGATCGCTCTGCTCCGTGCGCATTACCGTCGATATGGCGAAGGCAAACCCGGATGCGTCCTAGCGGTTTCACCTTGTAACGCACAAGTCGAGTCTTTGGCGAGCCGCCTCTACAAGAGCGACGACCGGGACCGGTCGCTGTGGGTACCTTCGGAGGCGCATATGCGTTCAGTTGGGAAAGAGCATCCACTATACCCGATGACGTTCCAGGCACGGGTGGAGCAGATTGTAGAGCAGCAAGGACCAGGACGAACCGACGCTACCGAGTACCTAGCGTTACGGGAGCAGCTTCGGAGCTCCAAAAAGTCGGACGGCATCAACATAGCCAAGTCATACCCGACAGAGGAAGAAGCGCGCATGAACGACTTGGGCGGTCAGTTGCTTGAGCGGCTTCTGAGTACGCACCCTTTCGTTGTCAGCNGGTAGCCAACCTCGGCACAGAGGCGACCAGGGCCGAAACCTGTGACGCAGCCGGTGAAGCGGCGAACGACGACGAGGAAGACAGCTTTGGAGAGAGTGAACAGTGCTACCACGAAGCGGCCCGGCGCTGGGTTCAACGGGAGAGAGAGCGCGAGTTCGCAGATACCAAGGTCCCGAAGGGCGAAGAGTACATCGACTTTTTATATGACACGCGTGACAAGTACATAGCAGCGATTCAAGCGCGGCACCCCGTGTACACATTTCAGGACGGCGTCGCTGTAGACTTCAAGTTCAGCAAGCAGGCCCAGGGCTGGACTCGGTACCGTGTCGCAATTCCACCGTATTCGAAGTTAGTTCTTTTATCTGGGACGGAGCGTTCGGCAGATGAAATGGTGGCAGCGATCACGATGACGGTGCATGTGCCGAATATGACAGCACCGATTGAGCAGCAGGTCTGGAGACAAGGCAAGTCGTGGCTTACCGACTGGCCAGCAGCAAGCCAGAGCCTTCCCTGCCTTAAAGACGTGACGATAGCAAGTATGCGCTTCGAGTTTTCGGATGTTGAGACAACACGGATTCAGCAGTGCTGCTACGAGAAGATCCCGCTAGCGCTCGACGTCGGGGACCTGAAGCAGGCAAATTTAGATCCGACGGCGGCGTCATTTAATCCACAAATTCAATCTGTTGACCCAATTCTTGTGGATTGCGAGTTTGCGGAAGCGGCCTCGGCGGTACCAAAAGGGCTCTTCTTGTACCACGGTGCTTTCGGCGCCGGGAAGAGTCGACTGCTGATCGCTCTGCTCCGCGCGCATTACCGTCGATATGGCGAAGGCAAACCCGGATGCGTCTTAGCGGTTTCACCTTGTAACGCACAGGTCGAGTCTTTGGCGAACCGCCTCTACAAGAGCGACGACCGGGACCGGTCGCTGTGGGTACCTTCGGAGGCGCATATGCGTTCAGTTGGGAAAGAGCATCCACTATACCCGATGACGTTCCAGGCACGGGTGGAGCAGATTGTAGAGCAGCAAGGACCAGGACGAACCGACGCTACCGAGTACCTAGCTTTACGGGAGCAGCTTCGGAGCGCCAAAAAGTCGGACGGCATCAACATAGCCAAGTCATACCCGACAGAGGAAGAAGCGCGCATGAACGACTTGGGCGGTCAGTTGCTTGAGCGGCTTCTGAGTACGCACCCTTTCGTTGTCAGCACCGTCGTTATGGGCGCGAAGATACAGCAGGCAACAGATGTGATTGCGACGGGTGTTGACGAAGCGGGCCAGGTAACAGATTTGCATCTGATGCTGGTGGCGCAGACGCGGCTCCTCCTGGTCACGGGCTGCTATCTGCAAATGTTGCCGAACGTTCACACGATCACAGAGGTCGACGCATCGCTGCAGGTGTTGCAGTACAACTTGATACAGAGAATGGCGAGGGAAAACCGCATTGAGCATCGCCTGCCGCAGCAGTTTCGGTGCCGAGACGAGATAGTACAGATTGCCTTGGAAGCACTCTACGAGGGACGGCTGAAGACAGCACCGGAGGCGCCAACGGAGACAGACTTCGTTTTCGAAGAACCAGTCGTCTTCATCGATGTTCCGCAGGAGGTTTCAGGATCGGGCGAATACGTCGCGCCGAATTGCCGGGATGCGTGTACTCGCGTGCTGAATCGCATTGCAGACTCCGGGGCTGACGCGTACATCATAACGCAGCATCTGCAACAGGTCGAAGAATACACGCGACACGGCGTTCCGAAAGAGCAGGTTTCTAACGTTGACCGGATCCAAGGCATCGAGAAAACAGCCATTATTCTTGACTTGTGCACATGGACGACTACGCTTTCGAACAAGACGCGCAACTTCCGCAGAGGTGGGGTGGCAAGCACGAGGGCGAAGGGAGCGCTGTATCTCGTCGGAAATTCGACAGTGGTGAATCAGCGACCATCTTTTTATGCGTGGTATTTGATGATTGCGATGAAGCGCGGCACGTACTACGATTCCTTCGAGTCCTTCTCTGCCGCCATGCACTCGCCCAGACTAAAGGGAGATCACCGGGCGCTGAAACGGAGCAAGTTTGACGAGACGTTCAAGGCGGAGCGTGTCGGTATTGACACTGTTAAGGCCGACTATGTTGTGACACCCAACTCGGTGAACATCTCTGATTATGCAGAGGACGTAGCGCAAGTTACCGCGAGACAGATGGCGAGCGCGATACCAGCATCGGCTTCAGTTGCTGTTCTACGATGGGCTGCAACGTCAGAGGAGAGCACACTATGGACAACGTTTCTGGAGCACTTTTTGCCTCTTCTTATCGGCCGAGGTTGCAAAGTTCGCGTCGTCGACGATTCGCTGCGACGTACACCAGTGCCGCCAATTGCCACAGACACAGTTGATGGAAACGGGAAAGCAAACGAGCTGTCAGGGCGGTGTATGTCGGTTCGTGGGGCGGAGCAGCTGGTGCCGGAATGCAGAGCGCAAGGGTCGATGCGCTTCTTCGGGACAGAAACAGACGACCTCTCACTTCTTCCGCTCGAAACAAACGTTGGCCGCGTTTTTCCGGACGATATTTCAGCAGAGGAACAGTCAGCGACAGAAATTCCATGCGATGTCAACGGTGACACATACTTTATGGCTGGAGTTTCAGACGCAGGGCTCTCGGATGGAATCCGCTTCCTCGATGCGAGTCGGCTATTCCGACTAGGCAAGGTGCGAGTCTGGGTCGGGGGCAAGCGTAGTCGAGCAGCATCGGAGGACTGGTCCCTCGTTGTCAACTGTACAGAGAACTTACCTCTCTTCGCAGATACCGACGTCAGGTGTCCGCTCGTCTTTTCGAGACCAATGGACTGCATACGGGCCATGCAGCAGACGATGCTACAGCTCTCCAAGGAGTGGCCGACGGCAGGCGACGTGCTCTTTCATTGTGCGGTTGGGCGAGATCGGTGCGTGCTCTTCGCGATGTGCTTTGCGAGTCTTGTTTTTGGACGTGATATGCGCGACGACATGATCCTCATGCGGCCCGAGATTCGACAGCATGCGCTAGCGACATACAAGCAGTGGGAGGGCTTAGTCAAGAACCTTTCTTGGTCCGTTTTTACGGCAGCGATTCCGGATGATCTGTTCAAGACTGACGAGTCGGGAGCCTTTCGCGTGTTCATAGTCGGCGATCTTGAGGTAGCTAGCTTCACGTGGAACGTAGGCGCGACTGGAATGGAAAAGTTCCTACTCCGGAGTGGTGACACCCTCGGAGTTGTCGTTGGTATGTATCCAAACTACATGATCTTTTGGCAGGAGCCACGAATCAGGGCATCTGCGTTGCCTTCGGTGATCGCACGTCTCAACGAGTTGACCGGAGGTGTCAGCTACTACAGCAGCAACTTGACAGGAGTCACGCTGTCGAAGGGACTAGCCGCAGCGCTTGGCGGAGCGAAGATCGAGGTCGATATGCCGACGCAGTTCGAGGACGGACGGGTCACGGCAGTAAAGATCAGCGGCTCTATCGAGGACACAGCCTGGGTGACTAGCTATACGCCGAATTCTGCCGGGAAGCTCGGCGGAACCAACGCACAGGCAAAAGACGAGCGGCGACGCAAGCACGACAAGAACTTAGTCTCGTATGTTTCTGATCTTCGTGATGTGGGCTACAAGGTGAACATTGTCGGGGACCTCAACGTGATGTCTGTGGCATCCGCGTCGCCACTTCTGGCTGGAATGCCGAGCAACCAAGACTGGGAGCGAGCACTTCTAGCGGAGGTCACTTCGGGAATGATCGACCTGGGCAGCGACACAGCGCACACTTTCATCAGTTGGAGTTTTCCACGGTGGTCCGGGCGAATTGACTACTTTTACGTTGATCCAGAACAGTCCATCACGGAGGCAACTTTTGCAGCAGACGGATACCCCACGGCGCGGCGCCTTGGCCGATATGACCACACGTATGGGCATGTCGTTTGGAAGCCTCGGATGCTGGTCGGCGACTCATCTGCCGACACTGAGAAGGGGAGCGTCAACGGTGTGCATAATGCGGCAACGTCATCTATTACAGCCTCGCCTATCGATGACGAGGCCGCAGCGGAGACGCACGCGCATGTAGCTGCGGAGGCGAGCACCGATCACGAGCCGGCGACAACAGGTGGCAGCAACGTGCCCGCGGACGTGACAGCAGGTGCCGACGCTTCTTGCAGCGAGGAGAAGAAGTGTGAACTGGCGGCGACGTGTGCAGACGACGTAGCAAGCAGCAACGAGGAAGCTTCGGCTGTGACCGAGCAAGAGGAGAGCAGTTCGGCGTCCTGTTTTGGTCGCGTGAAGAGATACATAAAGCAGCTCTTTTGTCGTGGATCTACCAGGGAATCACAAGCCACGGCGGCGCCAAAGGTCACAGTTGAGGCGACGAAGACGCACGAGTGCGCGATTAATCGCTCGAAGGGGACTCGCAGCGGACTTAGACAGCACCTGATTCTGCTGATGTTCTCGGACGGCTCTTTGCCAGGCGGTCGCGTGACAACTACCTACGAGGAGCCGAGGCAGGAGGAAGAACTGCTGAACATTTCGCCACAGGCGTATCACGATCTGAAGGAAAGTCAGCTGTATCCGCATGGTTCTGCGGCGAATGAGTCGTCGGTGCTCATTCTCCCGGCCGAGGTGTACAAGCACGGCGTTGAGCATGACTACAGTGAACTCGATTCGTGCTTCGGGTGCACAATCATATCAGCAGCAGCACCGCGCCCGCAGTCTAATATCAGCTACAGCGACCATTTCCGAGTTGTCCTTTCAGCAGTGCAGAGTGTGGCGCACGAGCATGCAGAGGGTGGCTTCGAGTCCGTCTTCGTCACGGGGGCGTGGGGCTGTGATAGTGGTGGCTTTCAGCACGAGGAGGCGATCAGGACCCAGACGCTTCTGCTCGACGAGGTGCAGTATGCGTTGGCCGGAGCCGGCGTTTCGGAGGTCGTATTTGCGTTGCCAGGTTCTTCTCCTGAAGTGATCGCAGCAAGGAGTGTCGCAGAAGACTTCTCGAAGCGTGTCGACGTCTGTGAACAGCAATACGGTCGGAGAGAGTCAGAGATGCTCGCTAGGCTTGACAGCATGAGTGGAACCTTTTACACAGCAGCGCAGCACAGCACTGCGCCAGACAATGCGACGCGTTTTGATGTAGCGACTCCGAGCGCTACGCCAGAGTCACTGGTAGCGATGTCGGTAGCATACCGCGGACGTATGTACCATGCCGTGCCAGCCGAAAGAGGATACCACGTCGTGACGAACAGCAACGAGGAGGCGCCGGCTACAGCGATGGAAATTGAGGATCTCCGTTTCCTACTCAGCGGCGAAGACGAGGCAGTCGCCAAGGAGACTGCGAGGTGTGGTGGCATCTTCAGGAGCGCGATCCCAGCAGTTACAGATACGGCGGCTGAGAAGCAGAAGGCAGACGCAATCGTCGAAGCGGCGTGGGCTGCATACAAGGCAGACATGGAGCGCATGGCGGAGAGCTTCAACCCAGCACTTGAGGAGCTGCAATCGTCGAAGGCAGCTAGTATCATAGAGGACGAGCTCAAACGGGACGAAGGGAAATGCTTTCAGGCGCTAATGTATGACGACGCGACCTTTTGCGGAAACACGTCGATGGAAATCGGATTTAAGCACCTCAAGAACTGTCGCGCAGCTGCCGCGATGCAGGCAGAGTTCTCAACAGAGAAGACAGATCTAGGCCGCCGGCGCAAGGTCTTGATTGGGCGAACATTGTGCGGCGGCACAACGTCCGTCGTCCGAGAACGGGTCGAGTTTTTCGTCAATTCAACGACAGTCCCCTTCCATCAGGGAGAGTTGAAGTCTCGCCTGTGCGTCTTGGTGTGGTGCGACAATGACGGAATATGCGGACACTACTCGACTTTTATCAAACACGTGCTGACCAAGTGGACGACGTGTCCCGAAGACCGATACCCCGACATTGTCAGTGACTCGCTGGCGATATTAGCGTGTCGATTGTTGAAGGCGTCCGCGGCCATCACTCCCCTGTATACTGCCGACGAAGAGGGGATCCACGCGGGCACTTCGCTTTTTGTTATCTTGATAGACAGCAACCTAGAGGGCGCCACGCTCCTCGGCTGTAACATCAAGAAGTCAACTTTCGACTCTGACGAGCCTGTCGATTTCCGATGTGGATTAGAGCCAGTATTTATTCGGCCAGTGCCTTTTCCGGCTTCATCGGAGGAACGAGAGCCCGCCGGGGCAGAGTTAGAAGGAGTCGTCCTCTATTTTGCATCCGTCGACTCGCGTTTCGAGCACCTGCCCAGAATTATTGTAAATGATAATCGAGCCATAGTCTTTAGGCGCACACATCACCAAGGCACGGACAGCGCGTACGTTCGAAAAGGGAAATACTTAATGCGCTGCTTAGAGAAGCCAGGGGTGACCCACATGGCCGCCAACCGTGAGATGCTAGACATTGTGGACGGCGGGATCAGGCAAGACCGCCGCATCATCGCGCGAACGAAGGTGCAGCAACGGCTTACGAGGCCCAACGAAGTGATGAATGAAATTTTTCCACTACACCGCGCGGTTCCCGAGTTTGACAAGGATAGGTGGGCGGAGGCGCGAGCAGGCGCGCCCAAGCCGAAGAAGAAGGCCGGGAAGAGAAAGGTGAAGGACGCGAGCACGTCAGGACACGACGTCATTGAAGCGGCAGGCGTTGACATCGGGGGAGCGGTATCTTGCGACATTGATGCGGAGACGGAGTTGCCCGCATCTGTTCGCACGGTTACGGGGCACGAGATGAGTGACTACGTTTCAGATCGGGAACTGCGGAGCCAGGGCGCGCCACTTTTTGAGGACGTTGTCTCCTCCATCGAGTACAACTACACGAGCAGCACCCTAGACGCCGACTACGTGACCGCGGGGCGCTGCTTCTCGGGCAAAGTGGCGCATGACTATGAGCGACACATCGTTGAAGAGGAAGCACACCTGTCACTTCTTCGGCAGAAGGTGGCGAGCCGCTCGGTGAATAAGACAACTCGCGACTACACCGAGAGTTTTTACTGGGATAGTCTCGGATGCCGACTCGTGCGAGTTCGTAGCTCGTCACCGACTGCGGGCGCGAAGAACTTCGTGAGGGATCAACATAGGTCATACCTTGGAGCTGGCGAATATGCAGACGGATACGTTGCAGAGCTGCACAAGATGGAGAAACTTTTCGCGGTCTCGGTTTACATCGAGCGATACGGGGATATCCTCCAGCTCCGGCGCGAGACGTTCCACGACCCCCTCGGTGGATCACGCAATCCACCACGACTAACACAGAGCCGCCATGTTGTTAAGGTGGCAGGTAAAGAGAAGGCGTCGATCATCGGGTCGCAGGTTCGGCTGTCGGAATACACGAACTCGACAGCCGTGTGGGCTATGGAGATCACACAGAGGCACGGCGATTATGAGAAGATTAAGCGAGCGGCGCAGGCAACGGGCAACGAGGAGAACGCAGCGATGCTGAGGTCGATTATGGGGTCCACCCCTATCGAGGACGGTGAGATGGTCGCGGCTTTTAGAGCGAACCAAAGAGGGCGCGTTGAGCTGAAAGCCACGAAAGTCGAGGATCTCACAGAGGTTACGCCTGCCATGTACGAGCAAATGCTACGCGATGTGCTTCGCTTTCTTAGCGGATACACAGCAGCGCCATCAAGCAAGGCCTACCTTCTGACGGACGACTTCGTGCTCTGGATCCATCAGGCGACAGGGTGCACTCGAGTGGCGACGCTCTCTCGGTGTTTTGAGGCTGCCGGCTATGTCGAAACGCGACCAGAGCAAGTTCGTGAAGTGATACAAGGGTGCGAGCGCTGTCTTGGACAGGAATCGAAGCAGTTGCCCGACCCAATCCACACGATGGAGATTAATGACCGGTTGACAGTAGAAGTAGATCTCTTCTGGCATGACCCCAACGCGGAGCCGGCACCTCACGGGCGCGACAGGCGGTGGCCGAGGGAACCGCTGACGCGACAGCAGCCGGCCCACGAGTTTGACGACAGCAGTAGCTCTTTCCCAGTGTGGGCGCGCGGTCAGCAAGAGTGCTGGGACTACTTTGAGTCAGTTGGCGAATACAAGGACCAGCGGCGGCCGTACCGGATGACGTCAAATGGTGTTTGCCAGTGCGATGTTACACGAAACTTCGGAGAGCATAAGATGCTGGCACAGGATGCAATCATTAAGTTCGAGGCGGACAAACTCAAGCCAGACACGATCCGAGTTCTGAAGCCAAGTGACAGAGAGATACGAGGGATTAACGCGGCGCCGTTCATCACTCGCAGGGGAACTGGAGTGCAGCTAGTACCGATGCACTCGCCCAACGTTGCCACCGCTGTTAACGGGACGCGGCAGTATCACTGGTGTGTTGCACATGTCGACTTGTACGCATTTGCCAAGGAGAACAACATCACAGAGATCCAGCGGGAGCAGATGGCGACGGCGCAGGTCAACGCATTATTTAGGGACGGCGTCAACTTCGACACGCTACTAGGGACTCGGTCGGAAGCTGACTACTGGCGACGCCGACACGTGTACGGGTTAGCAGAGTACCAGCAGTATTCGCGGCTCATGCAGAAGAAGATGGTTTCCATCGCCAGGAAGCGGAAATACATGAGCTACCACGGCATTAGAAAGCCGGTGGCCGCTAACCCGTCGACGAGAGGACAGCCCACAGTCGAGCGCGCGCTGATGTCGCACCCACAGGGTGACCAAGTGGTTACAGTGGCAGGCGAGACACTTGGCAGCTTCTTAGTTCAGAGCGGTGGGCAGCCGTACGCGCGGAAATGGCCGGCGTTGTATTTCAAGAAGCAGGTGCCAGAGAATTACTCTTGGGGATACCTCGACGTTGTTCCGATGGCAGCGAAACAGATTACCAGGGACGCTTATGGCGTTTGGCAGTCGTATCGGTTTCAGCCGAAGACTGAAGCTTTACCAGGAACAGGCCTCCCGTTTGATATGCGTCACGACTTGTCGAAGGGTGACGTCAAGGCGCTCCTCGGTGGAGGTTGTATCAATTTGCAAGTTAAGACGGCGATCGAAACGTTTAAGGCTGCGCCGATCCGGGGGTCGTCGAGTGCACAACCGAACAAGATCATCGCAGTGGCGGCGTCTGACATGTCTTTCTGGGACCTCGGTAACAGTGAACATGATGGATTGTACATCTTAAGCAATGACGGCATTGGGCACAATTATGTGGGGCGGTCGTTCGGAACGATGGACACGCTACTGAACGGCGACACTGCTCCGGTGCAGCGGCGGGTGATTCTTTGGCAGTCGCATGCGGGCTTCTATGTTTGGGTTTCGGTCGACACTCTGCCGCCAGTTAAGACGGGCATCTATGACCAGGGGACCGTCGACATGTCATCGCAGTGGCGAGCACTTGCGCCCGCGTCCAGCTCCGGAGAATGGAGAGCAGATGGCAACGGGGCAGAGACGTCTGGCTGGAACGTTAGCTACGTAGCAGGGTGCTATCGAGATGGCCTCGCGGAGCGATTGCTACGCATTTTCACTGACATGGTGCGCACTGCTGCGTATTACAATGAGGCCTGCCGTGCGAAAGAGAAAGCAACGCGGATTACCGTATATGAGCAGGGCGTTTCTATTGCGGAAGGTGGAGCTTTCATCTGTGCACTATCGAAGGGGGCGATTCTCAGGTGGGAGGCGCACAAAGGTGACAACGACGCGCGACGGGTACGCGCTCGAGAGTTCGTCTCGCGAGACTACGACGTAGGACGCATTTCGGTTCTGGGACCCATCGTTCGTGAGGTCGCACACACGGAGCGGAAGTCGATCCTCGAGCTGTGTGAGGACGCGCTAGCGGAAACTGGGCCAGTCGTCGCAGGCAGCCGCGACTACACGATGCACCGTATAGACGGCGTCCTTCGTGTTACCGCCGGGCGCTTCGGTTCGATACGACAGTGCGAGAGAGGTGCCCTGCCGCAGTTCAAGATCATCGTAGGAGAAATGTCGCCAGTAATCAACAGCGGAAGCAGATCCGGCGTAGAGAAGTTACACGGACACCCAGAAAACAGCGAGTGCAAAAGTGTACTATTCAAGAACAGCGTGGACTGGGCGGAGGAGGACAGTAAAGTTCTCGATTGTATATCGATCAATCTTTGCGAAGTGCCGCGTTTTTCGCAACAGCAGTTGCGGGATCGTGCACAGTCAGACTTCTACTTCGGGAAGATTCTCGCGGGAGCTGGCGCGGCGGCGAAATGGCCGTACTTCAACTACGGGACACACACAGTTTTGCTGTGCCATGCAGGACCTCGGGGGACAGCGCTATACTCACCGCCAGGCGGTGAAGACCTTAGCGAATTTTTACAGGAGCAGATCAGCTATTTGCGTGGAGCAGGGCATACGCACAACGGCACGGCGCACGACGTTTTTGAGGAGCTAGCGGATTCTGGTTGCGAGGCAGGGCAGCAGACGGTCAGCAACGTGTGGGATTATGACTTTCCGCGCGCGCTGATGTATCTGCACTCGTGCCACTCGTTCGAGCTCGACGAGCGGCTGCAGGAATACGGATGGTTTCGGTTGTGGATGGAGACCCACGACAAGAAGCACACGACGCAAGGCTTCACCGGCAGCGCGACCGACGAAAATCCGAGGTCCGTGTACTATCAGGCAGCCGTTGTGGATGTGAGTGGACGCGTGTACAGAATGTATCCACGGATTAGTTTTCGCATGCGGCAGCTACAGGGACCGATGCACGCGACGCGGGGCAACATCGACATGCGGCACGCGAGGTACTCGATGGACATGGAGCCTCGACACAGGTTTCGCGTCCCGGTAAAAGATCCGGAGGCAGAAGGAGCAGCTGTTGTGGAAAAGGAAATCGAGGTCAGTAGTTTCATCCCTCGTGGAGTCCACACAACTGGCGGAAAGTGGTGCCATGCGAGTGCTGCCGATCCAGGACTATCTTCCACCGGCTCTAAGGACACAGCAGCGGAGAAGCATCGATATGAAGTCATCCGGCCAGGAGAGGTGCGGGAGCTCCGACTTCCGACTCCGTATCCGTGTGGTCAGCAGATTTCTATCTTTTTGGCGGGCAGGCAGCGGCAGAACTTCACGCTATCGTTTCCGAACGAGACGTACCCGAGGCCAATTTTCGTGAACGTGACACCCTCTTACGAGGTCACGTTGTGGGTCAGGACAAGTGGCGCGAGTGCGAAAAAGATCCGGGTTGACCAGAAGGGCCGCGCGCTACTGGAAACGCTCATGCTGCCGATGGGGCTAGGGACGAAGACAGCAGACAGCATTTTTGGCGATGTCGGTCCAGGGTTCACGCCTGCGGTGAACAAGAACGAAACGGTCAACACAGAAACGGACGCCGCGCTGCTTGATGGTCCTCTCGGGCGTTGTTTCACCGAGGACGTTGCCGTGGGAAAGAAGAGCAAAGTTACGAATCCGACAACGTACACGCACTACAACTTGCAGGCCACGTTCAACAAGACACTACCGATGGCGACCGATGACAGCATGATCGCACTGGCGCAGGAGGCAGAAAAGAAGTATCAGCAGAAGAAGCGCACGATCACCGAAGGATCGACAGCGTGGAAACTATTTCTAGTCCATGCGCAGCTCAGGAATTGGGACGTGTCTCTGTTCGACGAGGACGCAGCAATTTTGACCCGGTATTTGGACGCGGGAGAAGCGCAGGTAACAGCAGAAGAGGTGGCGCTCATCCTCGAGGTTATGATCTGCCTCTGTGACCCGCGAGCTTTTACCGTCGAGGGGAATAAGCATCGATTTTTCCTCGGGTACGTTTTGGGGTGCGAATCGATCCGGTACGAGCGATCGCCGTTACCTTCGATCAAGGTCAAGCAGCTGCACCACGCGGAGAAGACGATCCAGACACTTCTCATGACGCGAGAAACATCAACGGAGAAGTGCAGGGAGTTCGTTCTCGCGGTAGACAAGATCATCTTTTTACAGTGCCAGGCGGGGCGAGCACCACGCGGCGACGACGTAGTGCTTGGTCGATTGTACTACCCGCACCCGGTAAATCCGATGTTGACCGCGCCGCCATGTCCTCCTTCGTGGCCGGAGCAGATCGTCGGGCGAGCATCTTCGAGGGATGCGCGATGCTATGGCGGTGTCGACTTTTCGAGGGCGTTTGCCAAGGTGAAGCTGAGTGCGGCTTTTTCAAAGTGGTGCGCGATGACGATTGAGGCGAAGCCGTTTTTGCCAAACGGAGGACCAATCGGACTTTCGATCCTACCCTCGATTTTCTCGCTGCTTGTCTATCCGTCATTCAACGAGCTAAGGGCAAGCCAAGAGCAGGTGATGCGGGTGAGCATCGCGATTCTCCGAGCATTGCGAGCAGGAACGATCAAGAGCCCGCTTGAGACTATCCGTGGCGGCAAAACGAACATCGGGCTCAGACAGCACGTTAGCGGTGGCGGGGCCGCGGGCATGAAGAACGGCTCTTCGACGAGCAGCTAAACAGCGGGCGCACACGACACACACGGGACGAGGCGAAATAAAATTTGCGGCGGCGGGTTGTTTCCCGTGTGTTTGTGTGCGTTTGGACTGGAGTTTGGCGCTGGGTGGACAGGAGAAGAGGGCTGAGCGCGAGCGAATGAGCGATGCCAACAAGTCGTTAGTTTCTCGTTATTTATATCCCATAGCCTTCCGCCGTTCTTTCCACCTCGAAGTCTATCTGTTTTGCCTGTCTCAGTGATAGATAGAAGATATTTATCTTGTGGCCCCCTCTTTTTCAATAAAACTACCCCCGTAAGCGTTGTTTTCGACCTCTTTCCTGGTCTAATTCCGCTCGCAGTTTTGTAAGATTTAAAACATCCACTCTCCCGCTCGTTATCAATCTATGATAGCCTCTTGCCTGTTTCTGAGGTAGAACCTCGAGAAGGTAGATAGCGCATGCATCTCCTTGGCGTCGTAAAATCATAAGGAGATGAACCGGCCAGCTGTGCAAAAATAGTACACTACCCCCGTAATCGTTATTTTCGCTCTCTTTTCTAAGTCAGTAGATACATCGACCACGTGTCTAGTTGTGTGTAGTTGACGTTCAACAAATTCGTGTCTGTTTCTGGGCCTTCGCTCCGTGGGTGTGAGAAGAGAGTTTCGCCCTCTTGTCTTTCGCTCTCTTACGTCAAAATCTACCCCCGTAATCGATATTTTTGCACACTAAACCAGACCAGTGGCTCTAACGTGATAGGGAAAGAAGGAAGTGAGAAGAAAAGTCGCTATCTAGCAGGCTGTNTGCAGCGAGGAAAAGAAGTGCGAACCGGCGGCGACGTGTGCAGACGACGCAGCAAGCAGCAACGAGGAAGCTTCGGCTGTGACCGAGCAAGAGGAGAGCAGTTCGGCGTCCTGTTTTGGTCGCGTGAAGAGATACATAAAGCAGCTCTTTTGTCGTGGATCTACCAGGGAATCACAAGCCACGGCGGCGCCAAAGGTCACAGTTGAGGCGACGAAGACGCACGAGTGCGCGATTAATCGCTCGAAGGGGACTCGCAGCGGACTTAGACAGCACCTGACTCTGCTGATGTTCTCGGACGGCTCTTTGCCAGGCGGTCGCGTGACAACTACCTACGAGGAGCCGAGGCAGGAGGAAGAACTGCTGAACATTTCGCCACAGGCGTTTCACGATCTGAAGGAAAGTCAGCTGTATCCGCATGGTTCTGCGGCGAATGAGTCGTCGGTGCTCATTCTCCCGGCCGAGGTGTACAAGCACGGCGTTGAGCATGACTACAGTGAACTCGATTCGTGCTTCGGATGCACAATCATATCAGCAGCAGCTCCGCGCCCGCAGTCTAATATCAGCTACAGCGACCATTTCCGAGTTGTCCTTTCAGCAGTGCAGAGTGTGGCGCACGAGCATGCAGAGGGTGGCTTCGAGTCCGTCTTCGTCACGGGGGCGTGGGGCTGTGATAGTGGTGGCTTTCAGCACGAGGAGGCGATCAGGACCCAGACGCTTCTGCTCGACGAGGTGCAGTATGCGTTGGCCGGAGCCGGCGTTTCGGAGGTCGTCTTTGCGTTGCCAGGTTCTTCTCCTGAAGTGATCGCAGCAAGGAGTGTCGCAGAAGACTTCTCGAAGCGTGTCGACGTCTGTGAACAGCAATACGGTCGGAGAGAGTCAGAGATGCTCGCTAGGCTTGACAGCATGAGTGGAACCTTTTACACAGCAGCGCAGCACAGCACTGCGCCAGACAATGCGACGCGTTTTGATGTAGCGACTCCGAGCGCTACGCCAGAGTCACTGGTAGCGATGTCGGTAGCATACCGCGGACGTATGTATCATGCCGTGCCAGCCGAAAGAGGATACCACGTCGTGACGAACAGCAACGAGGAGGCGCCGGCTACAGCGATGGAAATTGAGGATCTCCGCTTCCTACTCAGCGGCGAAGACGAGGCAGTCGCCAAGGAGACTGCGAGGTGTGGTGGCATCTTCAGGAGCGCGATCCCAGCAGTTACAGATACGGCGGCAGAGAAGCAGAAGGCAGACGCAATCGTCGAAGCGGCGTGGGCTGCATACAAGGCAGACATGGAGCGCATGGCGGAGAGCTTCAACCCAGCACTAGAGGAGCTGCAATCGTCGAAGACAGCTAGTATCATAGCGGACGAGCTCAAACGGGACGAAGGGAAATGCTTTCAGGCGCTAATGTATGACGACGCGACCTTTTGCGGAAACACGTCGATGGAAATCGGATTTAAGCACCTGAAGAACTGTCGCGCAGCTGCCGCGATGCAGGCAGAGTTCTCAACAGAGAAGACAGATCTAGGCCGCCGGCGCACAACTCACTTAACTCAACTCACTTAGCTGCCGCGATGCAGGCAGAGTTCTCAACAGAGAAGACAGATCTAGGCCGCCGGCGCAAGGTCTTGATTGGGCGAACATTGTGCGGCGGCACAACGTCCGTCGTCCGAGAACGGGTCGAGTTTTTCGTCAATTCAACGACAGTCCCCTTCCATCAGGGAGAGTTGAAGTCTCGCCTGTGCGTCTTGGTGTGGTGCGACAATGACGGAATATGCGGACACTACTCGACTTTTATCAAACACGTGCTGACCAAGTGGACGACGTGTCCCGAAGACCGATACCCCGACATTGTCAGTGACTCGCTGGCGATATTAGCGTGTCGATTGTTGAAGGCGTCCGCGGCCATCACTCCCCTGTATACTGCCGACGAAGAGGGGATCCACGCGGGCACTTCGCTTTTTGTTATCTTGATAGACAGCAACCTAGAGGGCGCCACGCTCCTCGGCTGTAACATCAAGAAGTCAACTTTCGACTCTGACGAGCCTGTCGATTTCCGATGTGGATTAGAGCCAGTATTTATTCGGCCAGTGCCTTTTCCGGCTTCATCGGAGGAACGAGAGCCCGCCGGGGCAGAGTTAGAAGGAGTCGTCCTCTATTTTGCATCCGTCGACTCGCGTTTCGAGCACCTGCCCAGAATTATTGTAAATGATAATCGAGCCATAGTCTTTAGGCGCACACATCACCAAGGCACGGACAGCGCGTACGTTCGAAAAGGGAAATACTTAATGCGCTGCTTAGAGAAGCCAGGGGTGACCCACATGGCCGCCAACCGTGAGATGCTAGACATTGTGGACGGCGGGATCAGGCAAGACCGCCGCATCATCGCGCGAACGAAGGTGCAGCAACGTCTTACGAGGCCCAACGAAGTGATGAATGAAATTTTTCCACTACACCGCGCGGTTCCCGAGTTTGACAAGGATAGGTGGGCGGAGGCGCGAGCAGGTGCGCCCAAGCCGAAGAAGAAGGCAGGGAAGAGAAAGGTGAAGGACGCGAGCACGTCAGGACACGACGTCATTGAAGCGGCAGGCGTTGACATCGGGGGAGCGGTATCTTGCGACATTGATGCGGAGACGGAGTTGCCCGCATCTGTTCGCACGGTTACGGGGCACGAGATGAGTGACTACGTTTCAGATCGGGAACTGTGGAACCAGGGCGCGCCACTTTTTGAGGACGTCGCTTCCTCCATCGAGTACAACTACACGAGCAGCGCCCTAGACGCCGACTACGTGACCGCGGGGCGCTGCTTCTCGGGCAAAGTGGCGCACGACTATGAGCGGTACATCGTTGAAGAGGAAGCACACCTGTCACTTCTTCGGCAGAAGGTGGCGAGCCGCTCGGTGAATAAGACAACTCGCGACTACACCGAGAGTTTTTACTGGGATAGTCTCGGATGCCGACTCGTGCGAGTTCGTAGCTCGTCACCGACTGCGGGCGCGAAGAACTTCGTGAGGGATCAACATAGGTCATACCTTGGAGCTGGCGAATATGCAGACGGATACGTTGCAGAGCTGCACAAGATGGAGAAACTTTTCGCGGTCTCGGTTTACATCGAGCGATACGGGGATATCCTCCAGCTCCGGCGCGAGACGTTCCACGACCCCCTCGGTGGATCACGCAATCCACCACGACTAACACAGAGCCGCCATGTTGTTAAGGTGGCAGGTAAAGAGAAGGCGTCGATCATCGGGTCGCAGGTTCGGCTGTCGGAATACACGAACTCGACAGCCGTGTGGGTTATGGAGATCACACAGAGGCACGGCGATTATGAGAAGATTAAGCGAGCGGCGCAGGCAACGGGCAACGAGGAGAACGCAGCGATGCTGAGGTCGATTATGGGGTCCACCCCTATCGAGGACGGTGAGATGGTCGCGGCTTTTAGAGCGAACCAAAGAGGGCGCGTTGAGCTGAAAGCCACGAAAGTCGATGATCTCACAGAGGTTACGCCTGCCATGTACGAGCAAATGCTACGCGATGTGCTTCGCTTTCTTAGCGGATACACAGCAGCGCCATCAAGCAAGGCCTATCTTCTGACGGACGACTTCGTGCTCTGGATCCATCAGGCGACAGGGTGCACTCGAGTGGCGACGCTCTCTCGGTGTTTTGAGGCTGCCGGCTATGTCGAAACGCGACCAGAGCAAGTTCGTGAAGTGATACAAGGGTGCGAGCGCTGTCTTGGACAGGAATCGAAGCAGTTGCCCGACCCAATCCACACGATGGAGATTAATGACCGGTTGACAGTAGAAGTAGATCTCTTCTGGCATGACCCCAACGCGGAGCCGGCACCTCACGGGCGCGACAGGCGGTGGCCGAGGGAACCGCTGACGCGACAGCAGCCGGCCCACGAGTTTGACGACAGCAGTAGCTCTTTCCCAGTGTGGGCGCGCGGTCAGCAAGAGTGCTGGGACTACTTTGAGTCAGTTGGCGAATACAAGGACCAGCGGCGGCCGTACCGGATGACGTCAAATGGTGTTTGCCAGTGCGATGTTACACGAAACTTCGGAGAGCATAAGATGCTGGCNCAAGTTAAGACGGCGATCGAAACGTTTAAGGCTGCGCCGATCCGGGGGTCGTCGAGTGCACAACCGAACAAGATCATCGCAGTGGCGGCGTCTGACATGTCTTTCTGGGACCTCGGTAACAGTGAACATGATGGATTGTACATCTT